CTTATTTTGGCCTCCAGAAAGGGTCTTATACGTCCTTATTTCAACATGTGTCTTACTACTATGAACCCTGATAAGCTACGCCCATTTTCCGCTTCTCTGGTTGTATGCTTAATGGGTAGGGGAAACTTAAATTGATTTATCTCCGTATATATAAATCATAGAACAACAAACTATACCTCAAAATGTTTGTATTTAAGTCTTCTATAATTCTGCATGTTAATTCTGCAAATTAATATGCAAATGAGGTCACCAGAGGTCAAAAGGTCAAAAGAAACTTGTACAAGTAAAAATATTTCATTTTGACGATCACATGCTCCAAAAGAATCATAATAAGTGTCATGTTTTGGGTTACCCAGCATGGATACTTAGAAAAGATGCTTCTGATTATTTCGTGTTTGACCAATAACCTTTTTAGGCCCATTTGTGTTACATAACTCAAAGAAAAAGAACATCAAAACACTTAAGTGCCTGAGGTTCAATTCCTAAATCATCGGCAGGAATGGCATTTATGTCTGATATCGAGCAAACGTAGACAAGTGCATGGTTTAGCTCAACAATTTAGCCCACCTTTTCACGTGACTAGTTTAATGTACCAGATGGATTTCGACATTGCTCAGCTTCTTCAACAGACTGAACACTTCGGCATGCGCAGAAACTAATGCAGGGCAGTCCCTTTTTGCGACATGCCGCATTTTTTGCAGTTGCAAATGACTGTGTATTCCTCAGGAATTGATCTCACAGTTGTTCAAATACGTGAGTGTTTCTGCCAATGTTCTGCCAATTAACAATAATGTAACAATCTAATGTTATACTTGGTAAACATTTTGTATTCCACTGTTGGGTTACATTGTATCTATAATCTAGGCTAGGGAAATATCTACTTGCAATGTATGTGCACTCGTTGTGATTTGAAAGTTTAATACATTGGTTTTTAATTGTGACTTTTAATGCTTAAAATGCAAGTTATGCTAGCTTTAGATCAATGTAGAAGTTATGATATTATGACCAACGCCGAACTACTCACGGTGCAATTAACTCCCAGAACACAAACTATACACAGACTACGGAGAAGAGAGAGATAGGCGAGCACATAAGATAGATGAACCCATAATGAAAAATTATCCTGTGAATACGTTTTAGCAGATATCATGATAATGTTTCTCATTTGGAAATGTGTGAGACAGCCATAGGCTTATATATGCCTTGATGAAAGATGTACTGCACTGTGCATGATATTATCAAATCCATTACGTTGCGATACTTAATTAATGCGTTAAATTTTGTTATGAGGTTATTTGTGCATGATTGTTTTTTCACAATGTACAATGGTACAAATTAAAGAACAGTAAGTATATATTTGACAGATTAAGCGCAGGAGTGACAAGAAAACCCAATCAAAATTCACATTTTAAAATTATTATGTATGAATATTTAACATTTATAGTTTTATTTTTAGCTCATCTGACATAGTCAGATGCAGCTTGTAGAATCGCATGATCGTCCGTGCGTCCGTGCGTCCGTCAACAGTTGGGCACAAATCTTAACCGCTCGACGTACGGTCACGATATTCGGGACGTTGGGGGGAAACCTCATACAGGTTATGTCAGTCGGACAGAGTAAGAAGGCCTGATCTTCATTGTATATGGCCTAAAATGTGAGATTAACAGACCTACTCGGATTCAATTTCTACTGGGATGCGCTGTACGATGCAGACGGGAGTCCACCCTGACTGCGACAAAAGTCGAGCCATTTCAGGCAATGGACACTCCCAGCCTCAGCAAGCAGTTGCAGGAGTTCCTGGGTCATGGTTACGTACACGCGTCTCCGAATTTCTAACGCCCATATTGTGTCTCAGCATAACTGCCACCCCTACGGGAAACTCTCAAGAAGACGCAGCTGTTTTGGAGTGGACGCCCATCTCACCAGTGTGCAGCGTACGATAGATAATCTCACTTCATTACGCTGAGACAGTCTCTTTGAGTCTACTTCAGATCCATGGAGCCATCGAGTTATTCACAGTCGATGCTTCCAGCGAAGGGACTGGCGCTCGTTCTCTATTCAACGCGACAAACATTGCTTTCGCATCCAAGTCTCTGAGAGGAATGCGAGCAACGTACGCCAAACATATGAGCGCGCAGCTGTTGGCAGTAGGTCTTTGGCGTGCCTATGAAAAGTTCCACATCCTACCTGTACGGAAAACGGTTTTGTCGTCCAGTTCTGATCACAAGCCCCTAGAGATGATACATCTGAAAAACATTCATCTGCCTCCACAACGTTTGCAACGCATGCTGACTACGAATACAGCAGTATGACCTCCAGTTAGTCTACAAACCTGGAAAGGAAGTTAGCAGTGGCCGATTGCTCTGTCTAGATCGCCCAGTGTTCAGATAGTACTACTATAGATCTTGACGTTCAGTTCCACCTAGTGCAGTTCAGTGACAGGCAGACAACATGAACTGCGGAAGGCGACACAGTCTGACAGCGAGCTACAGGCACTCCGAGAGTGTGATTCTGTCAGGTTGGCCAGAGAGACAAAACGAGCTTCCTTGCTACGCTGAGGCAATATGGTCTTATCGAGACGAGCTCTCGATCCAGATGGCATCATCGTGAAAGGCGAGCGTGTTGTCATCCCTGCCAGCATGCAGTGTTATATCCTGGAGAAACTCCACGAGTCCACCAGGGGCATCGAAAAAACAAAGATGAGAGCTTCGTACCTGTGTATTCTGGAAAACCTGCAACCCGGACATCGAGAACATGATCAAATCCATGTCACATCTGCCAACAGTTACAGAAGAAAAGAGTCCGGAGCCTCTTCTTCAGCACATGTACCTACACGTCCGTGGCAAATGATTGAGTAGTGACCTCTTCTACCTCGATGGATGCGAGTAACATCAATTTACTTGGATTATTACTCGAAATTCCCAATAATCAGAGAAAATCCACGGAAGAGCGCCGGAGAAAGTGTTGTGAGCATAACTAAGCAAGTGTTTGCTGAGCAAGGGCATTCCGGAGCCATGATTAGTGACAACGGGCCCAGTACGCGAGTTATGCATTCAACCATTCACAGAGGACTTG